AAACCGCCCTTTCGCTCTAGGGCCCGCCTTTCACCCGCCCTGAAACCTCTGGTTCCTAGCCTTGGACCCCTTAGCCCGCTGCCAGTATTCACAAATGTTTCTCCAATCACGCTTTTCACCCCTTCGTCACCCCTTCTCCCCCCCCCCGTTTCTTATTTTTTACACCCGAGTCTCTCCCTATCTCCATCTCCGTTGACCCTAATTTTAGCAAGTTTTCCATCCACCCACATGTTTTTCGCCTTACCTGTATTTCTGTTTTTTCCTCCAGGATACCTTTTATTTTGAAATCCTCTCACCATGCCCACTGCCTTTCTCGTTTCCTACACCAGAAGCACCTCCACATGTTCTGACTTTAATTCTGTGCAAGGAAGGGTTGAGGCCCGCTGTTGGCACTGCAAGACCAAGTCAGGTCCCGCCACTGTCCCTTCTCTCCTAATCCATTTGCTTTGCTTTGGTGCCTTTCACCTTCCTGTTAGTCACTTGTTTCATCATACCCTTCCTCACCTTTCTTCACTTTACCCTTTTCCTTCCTCCAACTTGAAGCTGTTTATTTTCAATTCTTTTTAGACCAAGATCACTCCATGGATGAAATGACAGCTGTGGTCAAGATTGAAAAAGGAGTCGGTGGCAATAATGGGGGCAATGGTAATGGTGGAGGCGCCTTTTCCCAGGCTCGAAGCAGCAGCACAGGCAGTAGTAGCAGCAGTGGAGGAGGAGGAGGACAGGTGAGTGCCCGCCAGGGCGGAGGGTGGTGGTGAGAGGATGTCAGGCTTCTTAGATGATGTTCTCTATTTCTCACCGTTTTTAGGAAGGGGCTGCACCAGTTCTAGATAGGGAAGTAAGCACTGAGTGACTCACATCCCCAAAGATGAGCAGCTCAGCCAGGGAGGTTCGCTTCTGTTTCTGTCAGTATCTACTCTTTGCAGTATTTGGCTGTTTACTTGTTGTACACTGCCCCTGGGGCTGACAGCTGGGTGTCACTAACTCTTCCTCTCCCTTATTTTCTGGCCAGGAATCCCAGCCATCCCCTTTGGCTCTGCTGGCAGCAACTTGCAGCAGAATTGAGTCACCCAATGAAAACAGCAACAACTCCCAGGGCCCAAGCCAGTCAGGGGGCACAGGTGAGCTTGACCTCACAGCTACACAACTTTCACAGGGTGCCAATGGCTGGCAGATCATCTCTTCCTCCTCTGGGGCTACCCCTACCTCAAAGGAACAGAGCGGCAGCAGTACCAATGGCAGCAATGGCAGTGAGTCTTCCAAGAATCGCACGGTTTCCGGGGGGCAGTACGTTGTGGCTGCCACCTCCAACTTACAGAACCAGCAAGTCCTGACAGGACTCCCCGGAGTGATGTCTAATATTCAGTATCAAGTAATCCCACAGTTCCAGACCGTTGATGGGCAACAGCTGCAGTTTGCCGCCTCTGGGGCCCAAGTGCAGCAGGATGGCGCTGGTCAAATACAGATCATACCAGGTGCAAACCAACAGATCATCACGAATCGAGGAAGCGCAGGCAACATCATTGCCGCTATGCCCAACTTGCTCCAGCAGGCTGTCCCGCTCCAAGGCCTGGCTAATAATGTGCTCTCAGGACAGACTCAGTATGTGACCAATGTACCCGTGGCCCTGAATGGGAATATCACCTTGCTACCTGTTAACAGCGTTTCTGCAGCTACCTTGACTCCTAGCTCCCAGGCAGTCACGATCAGCAGCTCTGGATCCCAGGAGAGCGGTTCACAGCCAGCCACCTCGGGGACAGGGACTGCCATTAGCTCTGCCAGTTTGGTGTCGTCACAAGCCAGTTCCAGCTCCTTTTTCACCAATGCCAATAGCTACTCAACAACTACTACCACCAGCAACATGGGAATTATGAACTTTACCACCAGCGGATCAACAGGGACCAACTCTCAAGGCCAGACACCCCAGAGGGTCAGTGGGTTACAGGGGTCTGAGGCGCTGAACATCCAGCAGAACCAGGCATCTGGAGGCTCACTGCAGGCAAGTCAGCAGAAGGAGGGAGAGCAAAACCAGCAGACACAGCAACAACAGATTCTCATCCAGCCTCAGCTCGTTCAGGGGGGACAAGCCCTCCAGGCCCTTCAAGCGACACCCTTGTCAGGGCAGACCTTTACAACTCAAGCTATCTCCCAGGAAACTCTCCAGCTTCAGGCTGTTTCAAACTCTGGCCCCATCATCATCCGGACACCAACAGTGGGGCCCAATGGACAGGTCAGTTGGCAGACTCTTCAGCTGCAGAACCTCCAAGTTCAGAACCCACAGGCCCAGACAATCACCTTGGCCCCAATGCAAGGTGTGTCCTTGGGGCAGACCAGTAGCAGCAACACCACCCTTACACCTATCGCCTCAGCTGCCTCCATCCCTGCTGGCACAGTCACTGTGAATGCTGCTCAGCTCTCCTCCATGCCTGGCCTCCAGACCATTAACCTCAGTGCGTTGGGTGCTTCAGGAATCCAGGTGCACCAGCTTCCAAGCCTGCCATTGGCTATAGCAAATGCCCCAGGTAAGGCTTCTGACCTTTTGCATTTATTTCTAGAGCTGAGCAGCATGTTGGCTGAAAATATTTAGTCTAAAGAAGCAGTTAGATCTTTGCGGGAGAAACACTGTTTCTTGAGGGCTTTTAATAATTTTTAAAGCCAAATCAGAGAAATGGCAGTATCACTTAAGCCACTTGGAGTAGACAAGGGAAACTCTGAAGTTCATCTGAGAAAGAAACACGTGTGGGCATTGTCCCTGGGGTCTCTCTACTTCCGTAGAGGGCTAGATAGTGACTATGTTAGGCCTTGTGAACCACTTTAAGATCTCAGTAACACATTCCTCTTCATTTTTTAAGTTGTAAGATAATCCTTAGTTCAAGGGCCTTCCTGTGTGGGCTAAGAATTGACTTATTTGTTGGGCAGTTATTAAATCTTTAGGTAATTATCGTGAACTGTAACTCCTACGAGGGAAAAGTGATAGAAGGGAATTCACAAGAATTTTTTAACAATAGTAAAGTCCCTGGTTAACCTTTTAACCAGATAGCTCACTCTGTGAACAGGCTGATTAATTAAGTTTAATTTTTTTGACTCCTGGTTACCTTAAAAGTAGAATCTTTGTCTGCCTCCCCTGATACATGTATAATTGTGACAAGCTTTATGTGTAATTCTGGTACTTCTAGGTAAGAGCAATTCTTCCTAGATTGCTTTGAAAGCCCTGTGTTGCCTAGGGTTGGGAGGGGTGGGGAGAGCGGGAGCCCGCTAGGCTGGGCCTGATGCGGTGGGCGGAGTTACGGCGTAGGAGCACTTTAAAGGGAAAAAGTCCTCAAGGAAGAGGTCTGTGTTGGAACGCTTGCTGAGTGGTTGACCACGATATTTAACGTTTCTTGTGACCTTTGCTTCATTCACTATTGGTTAATTTGAAATTTAAAATACTTATTTTAAAAGTTGAAAGTCTGGTTAGAATTTTAAATCCCACCATAATGGAAATAATGCATGAAGGATATGAAAGGATGCAGCATGATATATAACAGTAAGGGTGGGAAATAATTCGGTAGCAGGTTTTTTTTTTAAAGATTTATTTATTCATACAGAACTGGGGTACAGGCCCCAGAGATGTGGAGGGTGAGAGGCTTCACCAGAGACAGTGGGGAGCAGAACAGGCAGATGGACGAAGCACACTGCTGAGGGGAGCAGCGGGCGGGCCAGGAGAGGTCTGTGGCGCCATGTGGTCACCTCCGGGGCAGGCGGGGATCGAACTCATGCGGAAGTGGCTTGAGCTTCTCAGTGCTGTGCTTTAACCCGCTGCGCCACCTGGGAGGGCCTTCGGTAGCAGTTTTATGTATTGTTTACTTTATAATCAAGTTCTCACAAGAGTTCTGTGAGGATAACAAGTAGACCATCCTATTTCCGCCTGGGATAATTTCTGAGCATCTGAGTGGAGGTGGGGTCAGGTGTGGGGTCAGATAACTTTCTTCTATTCTGGTGACGCGTTTGAAGTGACTATTTGGGGCCTAAACAAGGAAGTAATTATCTTAGAGAGCTGGAGAGTTTTGAGAGCTGGATAGGAGGAGAGGACCGGAGAAGTCTTCTGGTGTACAACGCCTTACTTTCTGGGTGAAAACCTTGAGACACCAAGAGGCACTTGGTCAGACGGCAGCTAGTTCTACTCTAGGGCCGTCTGGTAGTTTTTACTCAGGTGTGAGAAGCCCTTTTTAATTGTTAGGAATCTTTTAGGAAAAATGTCTTTGTTTCTTTGAAATTTAATGCTCAGGAACTGATGAATGTTTGCCGGACTGAAAATTAGGGAAGTAGAAATGAGAAAAGATTAATAAAAACTGAACTCTGCAGTCTGGAAAATCAGACACTTCGTGGGTGATTTGCACCAGCGTGTTTGTTTCTCTGCTTTTTGCTGTTGTACTCCACAGTTTAGCCTTTTTCTAGGGAAAGCAAAGCTGTGGGGTTGTTCAAGTTGATAATTTGGTATTTCTAGAAGGTTTATAACTTAACTCTAGAGTCTGGGGCATTCTCATTGCTAGGTCATGCTCTGGGGAAGTCTGCCATTTACTGTGCCATAGAGCAGCGTTACCTGTCTTACGGTGGTCTCTGGGCCCGAGAGAATGCCACACGTGCCTTTCTGGAAGTTAGCAGCAGCTTGATGGTCATTAATAAACACTGAAAGGCCATTTTGTGAGAGTTGAGGTGGTTTGCTTCATTAACAGCAGCTTAGAAGCTACTTTCCTCCTGTCTGGTAGTCCTAATAGTGCAACATTTTTTCCTCTTGGATCGATCTGACTATCCTTAATGAAATATAATAAAATCACTTCCTGGGAGCCTAGGGCTGTTTAATTGTTGCTTCATTGTTACAAAGGGCCTTATTCTACCCCCATTTTTGGTACAGTGTTTTACTGAAAAAACTTGGCAGTATGATGTAGAAATCACTGGATGTGAAATCCTGTAGTAAGCTATAGATAGATCAGTGGAGAGCACGCTGCAAAGTGAGGTATTATTATATGGTTGTAGAAAACAGTCGTTTTTCATAGCGTTTACTTTAGTCTGTTTACATTTACTTAAAAAAAAAATAATCTTTTAAAACTTTTCTAAGGGGCCTCCCTGGTGGCTTAGGGGTTAAGTCTCAGCACTATCATCTCAATGGCCTGAGCTCCATCTGCCCCCCAGAGCTAATTCATTTAGTGTGTGCAGACCCCTCCTGGCCCCTCCTGGCTCACCTGCTGCTCACCTTCACTGCTCACCTTCGCAGTGTTTTAATCAGTAAATCCTCCCGTTCTCCCCACAGTGAATCCTCTCACCCCCTACACCTCTGGCCTACACGTCAGTTCTGTGCAAAAATTAAAAATAAATAAATCATCCTGCTTAAATTTTTTTCACTAAGTTCTTCTGTTGACCTTCACTGTTTACTTCTGTTTGCTGAATACACAGGCAAAAGCACAAATTTAGAACGTAAACAAGCCAACCACCTTTGTGTGTCTGTGTTTTCTCTTGGCCCTGCCCTTGGTTGTGGGTAATGAGGAGGGACCACCCAGTAAATAGGCTTAGGTTTCCAGACAGTGAAAGGATCTGTGGATTCTTTCTTTTTTTTTAAGTTGGCAGCTTTTTCTTTTTTTAAATCAACACCCTTTCCTTATGTATCAGTGCCCTTTCTATTTGTAGTTACACTCTCACAGATCTTAGATTTTAGATTTTTCCCCCCCTCAACCACAGCTAAGTCCTGAAAACACTTTTCCCTACGTTGAGGGATGGAGGTTGGGCTGGCTTTGACCAGTTTGGATGAATTCGTGGGAGTTCTGCCTAATAAAGAGTACAGGGCTGGGTGTTGGCAGGAGAATAGAACATATTTCCTTGATGGCTATAATTCACTCAAGAAACAAATTTCAGGCACTAAAAATAAAAATTTCCCATATGCTAGTTTTTATCGGGGTCAGGAAAATGTCTCCTCTTAGAAGTGAAGTTGAATGTGAGACCCGGCTGATGTGCCAACAGTGTTGCTAAACGTGGGGTCAGATTGCTGATCCTGAAAGTTGTATTTTACATTGCTGCATTTGAAAGTTAGTGGTAAGTAAATTGGGGTGACTAAATTGTATTCAGAATTACCATTCTAGTGCAAAAGGTTATTATGTGAGTTATTTCTAATTTAAAATAATATACTTAATATAACAACCAAGGTCTCAGCATTACTTACCTTTTTTAATACTGTTTCTTGGGATGACATTAGTGCATTTTAAATGAGCTCTGTTTAAGTACAAAAACGTGGCCTTTAAAACCTAAGATGCCTTGATTGATTTGAAAAGACTGAAAAGTCAGTGTTCCGAGGAAATTTTCAGTTGCTCCTGTTTATTCATTCCAGTGGCTTTCTGTAAATGACGTCATTGTTAAATCATGCTGCATTGTGTAATGTGGCCATTTTAGTTCTTAATTAAATAACTATAGAGAACAAGGGTGCCTAGTGTTTCACAGTAACTCAGTATCTTTTCTGCTTAGATTTTCCTTTTTAATTGTTCCACTTTGTAAATTAGCATGTAAATGTTAATTTCTGCCACTAATTAATTTCTGCTCATTGTTGCTGATTGTTTTGTTTTCCTCATTGAAAATGTTTTATAACGTGAGGTGAACATCTGTAGAAAAGCTTTTTTATAGAATCTTCTGTACAGTACTCATTGGGTATCTGTAAGCATTAATAGATAATCAGTTAAAAAGTTTCACTTTGTTGTTTCGTTGAAATACACACATTCTGCTTTTCATACTCCTTACAGAAGATGTGTCCTAGTAGAGTGATCTCTTTTTCTGACAGTTAGCATTAGATAGATCCAGGTGTGCTGAAACATTATGTAGAGGGTATTTTCCCACACCAGAGCTATATTGCTAGTGCTCTGCTGGATTTTACTCCATTCACCCTAGATGAACCTGAAAAACAATTCTATAGATGCTTTTTTCCAGTTGGTTACAAATCTGGGTTGTAATTTAAATTTGTACTTTTGCTGCAGTGTTTTTTAAACCCAGAATGGTTTATGGAAACTAGGTAGTATTTCTTGTTTGACAAGTTTGGATCTGTCTAATTTACTATGAATTTTCCTTCTCACCCTCTATCTGTGTCCAAAATAAATAATCTTACAATTTTGAAGGAGTTAAAATAGGTCAAGAAAAAGACTTGCCTTTGATGAGAGAACTAAGTTAAAATCTATACATTTTTGAAATTAAAAAAATAATTATTTTAAGAAAAAAATACTTGCTGCAGATAATTTAAACAGGGTTAAATGGTACTGAGCTGGATCTGTTCTTCACTGAAATGATCCTCCTTTTGTGCCCTAAAAGTTATAGCTCTTTGCAGACAATACAGTTAAACCACAGTGTGCATGTCAATATCAATTACAGTGAAAACTGCTGGAGCTGGAAACCCTCATCCCCTCCAGGACTAGACCCACACTGACAGAAAGGTAGGTGTGTATGAAGACTCAGGGACTTTCCAGAGGTCACTTGACAAAATTCATAGACATGACAGATCTGTCTTTTG